AAACCAAAAACAAAACCAAGAGAAAAAAGAAAAAAACTTACTGAAGGTACTGATTTTACATGTTTTGGCAAAATCTAAAAAACCAAAAAAAGCCAAAAAATAATTAGCAAATAAGATAAAAAAACTAAAGCAAAAAGAAAAATATACTAAGCTATCAATTTCATATTTCACATCTTAATGAATTCTAAGAACTCTAAATAAGCTAAAGAAAAAAAAAATAGCAAATAAAACAAAAAGACAAAGAAAAAAAACTTATTAATCTTACTAATATATTCTTATAAGCCTTTTATCACTAAAATAATTTGTAAGTTCACTTTATAATATTGGAATAATAGTTCTATAATATTAATGATTTGCAAGAATATATGAAAATATTTTGATAAGTCATTTATTTTGTTTCATATTCTATATTTTGATGAAATCTAAAAAACCTAAACAAGTCAAAAAATAAGACAAAAAAAATATTCAAAAAACTTACTAAAGCTGCCAACTTCATGTTTTATACTCTAGTGAAATCTAAAAACCTAACAAGCCAAAAAACAAAAAAATAGTAGTAAACAAAACAAATATAAAAAAAAAAAAACTCAAAAAGCAGAAAAAAGTAAAAAAAAAAATTAAGAAAAAACAAATAAAGCCACACAAATTTAATATATTGGTTTTCATAACATGAAACTTTTAAACAGACCCGGCCGGCCAGCTTTTTTTTTTAAAATTTCATATATAAAAGTTTATAAAAATTTTTTAAAAATTTTTTAAAATACCTACCCGGTTATTAAAACATACAAAAATTTTTTTTTACAAATTTTCAAATTTTGACCTGGCCAGTTTATGAAAACCAATTAATTAAGTTTGCATGGCCTAATGAGCAATAAACAAAAGCAAAAAAGCAACAAGAAAAAAGCAAAAAAAAATCAATAGCAGAAAAGCAAGCAACAAGAAAAAAGTAAATAATGCAAGCAAAACATAAAAAAAAAGAAGCAAAAGTAAAAGCAAAGCAAGTAAAAAAGCAGTAAAATAAGTTAAAAATGAAAAGCAATAAAAGCAAACATATAGAAATACACTAGTAATTTAACAGAAAAGCAAGCAACAAAAAGCACAAGATCAGATAATGATATTAATTACACATTAACTGCAACACCAATTGCAATATTAGCAACAGCACTAACAATAAAAGATGATAAGCTAAATAAATAAACAAAAAATAATAAGCAATATAAAGATAAAAAAAAAATTAATAATCTATTTATCTAAATTTGGTAATAGTATGATAATACAGAATAAAATCGTAAGATCATTTAACCTTGTATCAGCAATCAGAATTAATATATAAGCTTTAGTTATATGATTTTATCATTCTTTGATTAGCTAAATAGACTAGAGATATATAAGCTATATATCTTTAATCAGAGATGCCTAAAAATTCCTATAGTAATAGTATAATAGTTGCAAAATAATTATCTAGAACTAGTATATATATTGCTAATTTAAAACTTTTAACAAAATTTAATTTAGCTATATTAATATTAATATGATTAATATATAATAATATATTATAGTTATTATATGAATCTGATGTAACAACATATGCATCACTTAACAATAATAATAATTAAATATAAAAAAACTTTTGTATTGAATAAACCTTTGCTGCCTAACAATTGCAATTTTTTAAAAAACACTAACAAATCACAATATTAAAAAACAATTAACTAATTGAAGTCTTCATTTCTGCTAATTACAATTTGTTTATTCTAGCCAATTACAATATTATAAAACACATGACTAATTAATTTTCATTCTAGCCAATTATAATTTTTTAAAAATCTTCATTTCAGCTAATTACAATATTAAAAGATACACAATTAATTGAAGTCTTTGTTTCAACTATTTACTATTTGGGTAAAGTTTTTTTATAAGTTTATAAAAATTTTTATATATTTTTGTATATATATAATTTTTTGAAAATAAAATTAAAAGCTAGATGGACTAATATGTTTTTAAAATTAAATTTTAAAAAAAGATTATTTTATCTTTGTTAAAACAAATTAAATTTTTTTTAATAAATAAACAAAAAAGGATAAATATATTATAAGTTAAAAATTTAATAAAATTTTAGATTTTAAATAAAACAATTTTTAAATTTTAAAATTTTATTTTTGTTTTAATCTTAAAATCTAAAATTTATTAAAATTTCATTTTAATAATAATAATAAAATATAATATGTAATAAACTCTCTCTAACAATTATTTGTACCAAACTTATTGCTAATGAAAACAGAAACTTGTTGGAGAAAAGTAGAAGAGACAACTATACAATAACAGTTTTTATAAAGGTCAAGCCTTTTTATAATTTATTCTAGACTCCTTTGTATATCCAACATGCAAGTTAAAAGCATTCTTGTACAAGATAACTGGCAAGAAGGTGGTGCTCTTGTACAAAAAATTTTAATAGAAGCACTGCTTTTGTTAACAAAGTTAGATAATAGTTGGTCTAAAGGAGAACAACAAGCAAGTTTTCAACATACTCTTTACTAAAGTTTAAGAATACTTGCAAATCAAAACTCTCTACCAAACTCCACTCTTTGCACTTTACGAAATTTTTACCAAAAAGTGTGAAAAACAGTGTACTCCCAACAAAAAATCGATACAGTAACAGCTGCTGAAAAAGAAAAGACACATATATGTGTATGTGTCTACTTTGAGATGAATAGTGTCAGATAATGTGATAATATTTGAAACACTGCAAAAGACCTGCCAATCTAGTTGGGATAACAACTGAAAGTTTTGATTTTGAAGCTCTATTTCAAGACCAGATAGTTTTTAATATTTTTATATCCTGGATATAGACATAAATAATTAGCATAAAGTTTAGTCTAGCTTATTTGTAGTACTATATAATTTTTACAATCTGGCATGAGTTTAATAATGCTATCTTTGTTTTCTTTTCTTTTGTTTTTTTTTCATTATTTGTTTTGTTTGGTTTTATTTGTTTAGGTGAACCAGAATTTGACATTGAGGTATTTTTTTATTTTTCATTTACCCTTTGTATTTGTGTCTGTACTTTGTTTTATAAAAAGAAAAGTCAATTCTGATATGGTGTGTAGCACCTGCCCATGATCAAAGGATAACCTCTAGTAAGTTAGAAACCCAAAAAGAGGCTAAGGTTAGTCATATCTGGTGAAAGTGTAGGCAAGCTGCTTTGCGAGAAGGTTAGTATAGCTATTATTAGAAAATGTAAATTTTTTAGTTTAGTTTAATCTCAAATAAAAAGTGGCAGAACAGCCAAATTATAAAAAAAATATAATATATAATTAAAACATTTCTAATTTAAAAAAATCTATAAACTTATACAAATTATTTAATTTAGTTAATATTTAATTATAATATAATTATAATACAGTATATAAAAATTAGTATTTTAAAATTAATTTAAGTAAATTTATAAATAGTTAGAGTTTAGATTAAGATTAAAAGTTAAATTAGCTTAAATTAGATAGGTTTTATATAGTATAATTTTGAAATAATCTATATATACTATCTATTTAGTTTACTTTTGTTAATATCAACTTATTTGAATTAGTTTTAAATTATATTGATGATAATATTAATGAGATATTATATTAAAGTTAATATAGATGAAAGAATTTTGATATATAAAAATTTATAAAAATTTGTATTATAATTTAGGCTAATATTAATAAGATTGATATTAATAGGGATAATCTATACTAAAGAAAATTCTATGATTTTGCATATACTAAATATTACATAATACTTACACATATATATAAATTTTTAAAGTAAAATTTTCTTATTTTTAGACAAATTTTTTTAACAACTATCTAATAGAACTTAATAAAAATTTTTAAATCAATTTTACAAGTTATTAAGATTTATTTAAAAAAATTTTTTATTGAATTCTATCAAACAATTGTCAAGAAATTTTTGATTAAAGTTTAAAAATTTTCTACCACCTTATATACAAAAATAACTAACAAAATTTTTCTAAACTTTAAACAAAAATTTCTTAACAACTACTTAAAAAAATTCTATAAAAATTTTTTAAATAAATTTTATCATTTATATAATTTATTTAAAAAATTTAATATTTTGACAACTACTTGAAAAAATCAATAAAAATTTTTTAAATAAATTCTATTAATTAATAGAATTTATTAAAGGAATTTGCTAATTTCTACCACAGGTGATCATCACTTGTATCATTTATATTTCAAAATTCTGCTTATAAAACCACTTTTGAAGCTCTAACAAAAAAAAATTCCTTGCAAAATTTTACTATAAGCAATATCCTTGCTTTATCCCAAACATTACTCTAATCCTAACTAAAAAAAATATTGCTTTTTGCTTTAAAAAAAATTATTTTGTTGTTTTTGAAATATATTGAAAATCACAGGTGATGATCACCTGTGGTGGAAATTAGATATTTTCTTTATTAAAAAATTTTTTTATAGAATTCTAATAAATAGTTGTCAAGAAATTTTTGGTCAGTTTAGAAAATTTTCAGTCACAGCTATTTTCTTAAAAAAGGCTGTAATAAAGTTTCTAAACTTTGAACAAAAACTCTTTAATAACTACTTGATAGAATTCGATAGAATTTTTTTTAAAAAAATTATCATCAAATTCTATTGAATAATTGTCAAAAAAATTTGTCAAAAAAATTTGTCAAAAAAATTTGTCTAAAAATAAGAAAAATTCTACTTCGAAAGCTTACGTACGTAAGTATCACGTGATGTCCGGGAGTGCAAAATCATGTGATCTGTAAACTTTCCGTTTCTGATTCACTTCATTATCGTTATCTAGTAATCAAATTCTTATAACATTCGAGAGACGAATCGGATGATACATTTGCATTCGGAAAATTATAAACTTAGTCTTTGAATTTCAAATCAAAAATTGGTCCGTTCCTTATTTTTGAACAATAAGAATTTTATAACTTTCATTTTTAGAAATACACAAAATAAATTTTTCACACTAATCTTTCAAACTTTATTTTGCCAAAGATTTTGCCGAATATTTTTATTAATTTTTTTGCCAATATTTTTTTTTGCCGAATTTTTTTTGCCATAAAATTTTTTTTTTGCCAAAATTTTTTTGCCTAATTTTTTTTCAAATTTTTTTTTCTTAGAAAAAGCTTAAGTACTTATATGAAATTCAGATTTAGCCATAATTTTTTTTTCTTTGATACTATATGAAAATATGGTTACATGTAATAAAAAAAATGTATTTTTAAAATGAATATGCATTATGTGTGAAATGTGTAAAGGTAATTTACAAATGATAATATTGAATTTTAGGGGTTCTTATAGTAAGAACGAATCGAATAAGGAAGAATTTTTTAGGGAAAGAAAAAAATTTGAACCAATAAAAGAAAAAAAAAACTCTATAAAATTGAAAAAATTAATTATACAAAACCAAAATTTTCAACATTGTCCCTTAGTTATTCACTATTATTGTCTCTACTATTACCGTTATTGATATTATTGTTATCACTATCATTATTATTATTTGTAATATTATTACAATTATTGTTCAAAGGTTCGATCTCGTGTTGATAGAACGCAAAAACCACGGCCTGAGCTGCCGGACCAAGTCCAAGATACTTTATATTCTGATGAACATAATAATAATTATCCACCGTCAATGTATCATACCATTTATCAGCATCACCATTATATAAAAACTCTAACAACGGTTCAAAAGTTTCAGGAGATGGGAGAGAAATGGTGATAATATCACCATTGGTTACATTTTCAAATACTTCACGAAAGAATAAAGATTGAAGGACTAAATATTCTTCGTGTACATAGAAGAATTTGTCGAGACCTTCTACGTGTAGTTCAGCAAATGCGGTTAACTTATCACCATAGTAACGAGGACCAAGCTGGTGTAATTTCTCAAGAATATAAGTTACGGGAATCCCATCGATCAATTGCTGATGCTGTAAATCATCGTATTTTCCACCAACTATGGCAGATTGTTGTTGGGGACGTTGTTCTACTTGAGGTGAAAACATCTTGGAATAAAGACGAAAAAATGAGAAACGTAGAAGGCAGAAAAAACTTTTTATGTTTTGCAGTGTTTGAGAGATAGACAAAATTTTTCGTCTTTGCAGTGTTCGAAAGGAATACTCGAAGATTTTAAGAATATTCAGATGATTAGGAGATCAGGTTTTGGGTGGTAAAGGATGAGTGGAGCTGCTTTTATGCAATCGCGTTCAATACTAATCGTTTCTCGTCTCTTAATATTGTTTCCAAGAAGAATCAACCACAACTCTTGAATGACACAAACAATGTATCTATTTCAAGAAAAGATCGATTTACCATTTATTGACAATTAAGGAATATTAAATACGTTACATATGCTATACATACCAATACTGTACTAAGTACATACGTACTGCACAACCCACAGATATTCAATACAGATTTGACGTTAGAAAACTACATTGTAACAATACTCATAGGTTAAAGCACAAAACCATCTCATTGTCAACCATTAAAGCTATCCAGTGAGTAGAAAAAACAAATATTTTTTTTCTGTTTTCGGATACATTCTGTTTATGAAACATTCAGTACATTTGGTGATTTTCAGAATCAAAGCGAACTTATTCTATGGATTAATTTTTCATCTATCCCTTCCAAGGTTAAAATTAAATTAATATAATATCATATGTAAATTGATTATACATACAGTATTTGATGAAATGAATAATGGAATCATTGACGATAAATATTGTTCAATAGCTGCAAAAAAATCGAGTATAGAATAATGGCGTCATGAAACTTTTATAACTGCGGTTCTATATAAGAAATTACTAGATTTCATTATTAATTCTTTACCTGTCTTTTCTTTTAAAAACAGCATGTGTATATGAATGCTATTATTGTAAACATTAGATAAGAATTGTGATTGTTTAAAATTATCTAATTCTGTAATTACCACAATTCACTGCTTTATACTCCACATAATAGAAGCTCTCAAACCGGGAATGAACTTATCTTTAACAAGTATTTGAACTTACCTTCAAATTCTTATTCGATTACATAGAACAATAAAAATTCTACATAGTGTCACAAGTTGATCGCTCCCTTTTTCATATCTCTTGATATCATTTTTATAACTATGATGCATAATGTACGTAAATACTGTATGTACAAACGTACATGTGTACGTATCTTCAGCGAAGAATACTCAAACTTCCTTTCACATTGTCCTAATCACTTTTTATCAATTTACACCTCTTCCAACCTTGTCTAATGTTGTTTAATGTTATCTAATGTCACTTGTATTTACCATTTCGGCCGCCAGAATAATCTACTAAAATTAAAAATTATAACTGACCCTTCTCCATAACAATCTACATATTATTGTTACTACGTCAGTAGTAAAACCATTGTATCGATTACCAGGTTTTGTTTAAAGCTTGTCCTTAAAGTTTCTCGTGCGTATTCAAAATTGAATGATTTACGTAGCACAACAGCATATAGCAATCTATTTTACTATGCTCTTATTTCTATATCAAGATATGATTATCGTTATTATTCTGATAATTGTTTAATCCTTTGATTGTATGCTCCACGTGCATCATGTCAATTAGTCAATTATTGTTATTAAATTAACTATATATTATAAATTATAGTTTGAATTAATTAATAAACGTTTGTCAACTAAACAAATCATTCAGATTTAATGACTTATAGTTATTGCAATATTGTTTACCATAATAATATATAATTTAGAATTGATTCGGAGAAGTTGTAAATACTTCTTTTAGATCACTGAGATTTTGTAAACCTTCTTATGACGACAATATATGCTAAATGCGCGAATGTTATTATTATGCGATTGAATTTCGATACGTATGCTTAATGCATCTTAATTCCGTGAATCAATAGTAGATCATTGATTATTTCTCATCGTGTTTTTTTTTCATTTTTGAGTTACAAGTAAAATAACTTGTGCGTCTACCCAAAATGCTTGAATGTTCCGAATAAGCTTTATTTCTATATTACAGTGTACCCAATAAATTACATTGCTAGAATTTTCTTTAGCGCGAGTAGGCTATGTGTACATAACGTTGACTATGAGTAATTTTTTTTACAATCTATATTAGATTAATTATTATTTATATTACGTAGTTAAAATTCATCACAGTAACTAATAATTAAATTCTATAGATTCTAAATAATTACACTAAACGATGCATATAAACAATAACTATATGCACTATGGTTAGAAAACAATAATTTACATTTTTTATTAAATATCGCTTTATATTGTATAACAATTTGACAATTTATTATATAGTTTATAAATAATGTTGATTTACTGGTATTAATTATTTACTGTATTTATAAAATTTTATAATCAATAATAATAAATTTTATTAAATTTTTATAAACCAAAAATTAATTATATTTAATTAAAGTTGGCTTTAGATTTAGAAGAAGCTATAGTTTCTACGTATTAAAATTTTGCAAAAAATAATTTTTATTAAAATTTTTAGAACTATATTTATGTTGATAGTAATATTAATAAAAGATCATATGGGCTAGGTGCTGAGAAAAGAGACGAAATTGAAATCAATTTTTATATTATAAATCTTATAATAAATCATAAGGAAATGCAAATTTAAAGGGCTATACTGCAAAATTTTATTAATACAACTACTTTTATATCTTAAATAAAAAATGATCTTAATCTTATTCTAAATTGATTTATGCAAAAAATATTTTCTAAAAAAATTGTCTTTTTCTTAGCACCTAAAAATAGACTATTATAAATTTCATAATAGTCTATTTTTAGATAAATAGATTTTTCTGTTTAATATTTATATTAAAGTTAATATACAGTATATAGAAAATTTTAATTTTAATATATAAATTTATTTAATTGTTTAAATTAAAATATATAAATATAAAATATCAATAAATTTGAATCTTATCATTTTCTTGATAATTACTTTTTTTGACAATATCAAAATCTTAACAAGTTAGTTTATAATAGATTAGAGTTAGTTCAATCAATTTTTGTTAGAATTTTGTTTGTTAAAAAGTGTTGTCAGAAAAAAATAAAAGCTTTAATAAATTATATTACTAGTATTTAGCATTATATATAATATACTGTATTTAGTTAATTAAAATATAAATTTATATAATATAAAAATTAGATATAAAATGCTTTTTTTAAAGAGATTTATTTTTATAGTATATTGCACTATTGTGTTAAAGTATTATAACTAATTAAAATTTAATATTAAATATAATATGAAGTTGTGACTAAGTAATATAGTTAGCAAATTAGTTGTTTTATATGAAAGTAAGTTGTCGTCTACTTTTTTTACTCTGGTCTTTTAAAAAAATAATTATTATTTTTGGTTTTCTTTTTTTTAGAGCTATATGCTTTGTTTTTTATTATTGTTTATATATTTTTGTTAATGTTTTGTTTATGATTTTGTATATAAAGAATTAATAAAAAGAGCATATATAATATTTTTTTTATTTTTTTTTATTTTATTAACTAGCCTTTTTGGCATAGAGGTTTTTATTCAAGTATATTGAGAGTGAAAGGCTCACAGCAAAACCTCAAATTACATTAGAAAATACAACTAGCCACATATATAACTTTTGGTTGTCTATTTAAGAGTCCACATATAGATAACTATACACTATAGATTCTATACTAGCTGCTATACCTATAACTCAACTAGGGGATTACCTATTTAAACCTTTGGTAATGCAACTAAATACTAACTTGTTATTACCAAAACATTTTTGCTACATTTGTCAGTTAAGAAGTACCAGATGTTTGCTATAGCTTTAGGACTAATTTATACTTGAGGCATCATTGCTAAAGCTTTCTATACCTATAATCTGGCTAACCTAGATTTCATTAACTTATGCCAAGTTCAAAAATGAGTACTTGCGAGTCGAAGCTGCTACTGTTACCTATTTCTGCCCTTATAGAGTTCATCCAAACCACAGCACCTACCTTACAGACCGTCTACTGTTTCTCTAGTTTTCTAAACTTTCAATTCAAATAGCCCAGAAGGGTGAACCTCTTCTCTAGAATATACCAGCAGCCTGGTTGTTATAGTGTCTTATTAAACATCTTAATTCTGTTTAGTTCCTGGTTACTTTGATTGATGATCCTTTATGTAGCACAGTTAAAAGTCTGTGCTATCTCTCTACTCGAGACTTGCCAAATGGGCTTCTGTATATCCCAGCCTTCAGATTTACTTAGCTGCTTTACTCAGGTTTTGTGTAACTCATATATTACACTAAATGTTCTATAGCCTCTCAGTACAAGCTGGTATGCCAAAGCTACAAATCTGATAATTTATCAAATTATACACAATCTACTGTAACATATTCTGTAAAATTCAAATTTTGTCACCAGTAAGATTTGAACTCTTGTCTTGCTGCTTAGGAATACAACAACTTACCAACTTCACTAAGTTATTACACCCTTATATATAATATTTTATAAACTGTTTTTTTTTTATAAAATTATATAAATATATTTTTTAACTACTTGAACACTTAGTTAAGTAAAGTAACTTGTTAAATAAGAGTCTAACAATATTATATTATAATATTAAAATAAAAAAGATTTATTAATTAATAAAGAAAACAAAAAATTATTTATTACTTATAAAAGAAAAAATAACTTCATTAATTATAATATTACAAAACTATTAATTATATTTTTACTAAATTATATCAAAAAGTTAGTAATATTTATTTATATTATTATAAAAAAGGTATGTATAATTAGCAAATTATTATAAATAATAATATAAAACTTATATAAATTTATATAAAACTTTTTGAAAATGATTATAATATATACAGCAATACTAATAATAAGAGCTTATTATATTTTAATAAGAGTATTATTGTAAGTTAAAAGCTATATAATTATTTTTATTTTATTTTTTTTTAATGTTAAGGCGATCTCTTTGCTACACTGCTCTTTATTCAAATATTAGTAGTATTTTTAATCATTAGACAT